TTTAATTTTTAAGTTATATATAAGTTTTGTATTAAAATTTATATATTTAATTTTCATAGAAATAAATCAAGATTTCATAAAAAAACAATTAAAACCCCATTTACGATGGACTTAAAAATTGGATATTTAAATTGAAATACAACATAAACACATATTCTAAAATTAATTGATATTAATTAGAATAGTTCTCTTTCTATTTAAAGAACGCATGCCCTTTTTTTGTTAAATTTTGCTTGAAGATTTGCTCACTAAAATAGATATTTTTTTGGTTAAAATCTCTTTTTGATCCCTTTATTTTAACAAAAAAACTCTTTTTCTAGTTCTTTTACTTAAAAAGTCCATTTTTAGTCCTTAAAATTAAAATTCTAAACCAATTTCAGTCCTTCTATTACCTTTTTGTATAAATGTCACGTTAGATAGCCGAAAAACTAAAATAAAGAGACTAAAAAATGTTTTTTTTTTTAAGTAAAAAGACCAAAAATAGACTTTTTTTTAAGTAAAAGGTCCAAAAAAAAAAAGCTTTTTTAGTTCCCCTTTTAGTACATTTATTGTATAATTTATGTTATCTAACGTGCTACATGTGTAAAAATGACAAAAGAACTAAAAAAAGATTGAATTTTAAACTTTAGAGATCAAAAATAAATTTTTTTAAATAAAATGACTAAAAATAAGCTTTTTATCAGAATAAAAAGACTAAAATAAAGTTTTAACCTTTTTTTTTTTTAATTAAATCTTCATCTATTTCTTTTTTGGTTTTTAATGTTGGAAGTGGAACTCAAAACCTATATTTTCAAGTTTAACATGAGAAGTCTTTTATAAGGACGAAATAATCACTCAAAACAAATCTTGATATATTTCTATGAAAATTAAACATATAAATTCTAATACAAAACTTATATATAACTTAAAAATAAAATAGATGAGTTTTAATATAAAATTTTTATCTAATTTAAAATTAATTAATAATAACTAAAATAATTCTTTTTATATTTAAATTACACATTGTTTTATTATAATAACGGGGAATTTAACCAAATTTTTATGATAAAGGCTTAGATTAACTGTGATAGTTTACAACTGTAGGTATTTTTATTCTTTAATATTTTAAAAATATATAAAATATATAAAATGTATTTAATATTTATTATAATTAATATTTTATATTTTTTAAAATAATAAAAAAAATAAAAATAAAAAGCTAAAAATTTGAAAAGTATTGTCAAATGAACTCAAAATTGATATTAAAACAAGCAGCCTAAATTGTTATCGTGGAAGAAGAGAAGAAGATAATGGTATTTGAGAGAATACTCAACTGTATTCACTTAATTTATTTTGCACAAGTAATCTCATATATATATATATATATATATAAATATAAAAATATATTTGGACTTGACTGATATAGCATATAGCAGTTGTCCTTATCAACATTACACTGGATTGGCTTGATTTACTGTGTTCCTAATTCCTTGATTAACTCTGTTAACTTTCTTATGGTATGATTGCTCATTCTCCTTCATTGTAATCCGGTGGAGGGCTAAAACCGTAAACTTATGAAATAAGACGGTATCCTAGGAATCGTAGTTGTGCGGATTTTTATTTTTATTTTATTTTTGAGTGGATAACAAAATCGAAGGCTTTTACGGTTTTACTAAAAAAAACAAAGAAACAGCAAGAGAAAATAAAGAAAAGAAAAGAAAAGAACATTGACATACAGTTGGGTGGTCAGTGGGATGTGTATTTATGAATGCTCTTTGGCTGAGAGAAAATCCCAAAACCAAACAGTCTCCGTTCTTTTACTCTTTTGCAGAGAAACAAAAGCATGGAGGAAGCACTACTTACAAGGTCTTCAAGATCACTGAATCAGAAAAGTAGTGAGTCCATAGGTTTTGAAAGACATGGCAGCTCTTTCCAAGCAATCGTGGATGAACTGCAGTCCCCATTCTCCACCATCACCTTTCCACTTGTGTTCAGCACCCTTATCGCCATCTGTGGTTCCTATGTCTTTGGACATGCTGTAAGGATCAAAGGCCAGATTTTCCTTGAACTTGAATTAATTTTTTTTGTTTTGTTGATAAGTTCCTTGAACTTGTCTTGATTTCAAATTATGCATGGTAGTCTCTGCAAAAGTGCCAGATAACAGAGAGTGCCACTCTTCTTTAGTCTTCCCTTTGTAAAGACTGAGAATCCTGGATTCAAAGTTAATGCTAGCCTTACCCTGTTTAGATCAAAGTCTTTCAAGATTTATGAATCTGAAGATTGGATGTAATTTAGTAGATTGCGTGTCAAAATAAGTATGAAAAGAAACACTGAATTTTGAATCTGATGTTGTCTAGATCTTGAGGGTGATTGCAGGTTGGATATTCATCACCAGCTCAATCTGGAATCATGAAAGACCTGGGGCTCACTTCTTCAGAGGCAAGTACCAAATTCATTCTTTTTTTTGTTTTTTTGGTCTAATCTATTATTTTATTATGGTCAAAACTCAAAAGGACCAAAAAAAGGAAAAAAAAGAAAAAAGAGGAAGCTCAAGAGGACAAAAGAAGCATATTATTTTGTTATTCCAAAAATTGGAAGGAACCTATGAAATTGTTGGAAGATGCAAATGTTAATAAGTTCATGTGACCCCAAACTGGAACATCACTTACCTAACAACTCTGCTCTATTGCAGTATTCGCTTTTCAGTTCCATATTGACAGTTGGAGGAATGTTAGGAGCAGTGTTGAGTGGAAAGATTGCAGATCTCATTGGCCGGAGGGCTGTAAGTTTTTACCCCTAACAATTAACATGAGGACCTAGTAACAAATTTCAATTTTACAGACATTTTCTATGAAATCAGGCAATGGGCGTTGCAGAAGTCTTCTCCATGGCTGGTTGGCTTGCAATACTACTCTCGGAGGTTCTTTCATTAAGCTTATATAGAAACATTACCCTTCATAATATTTTCTACTTATCATATCAATTCATAATCATTCAATGCATGTTAAAAGGCTGCTTGGACACTATACCTCGGAAGATTTCTGTTGGGATGTGGAATTGGGCTTATGTCTTATGCGGTAATTGTTACATGAGTTCATAATTCATTACTGCCTTAATTCATCCTTTGTTGTGATAGATATTGGTAAATTAGCACTCTTTTATCAATCAGGTACCTATATATATTGCTGAAATCACGCCAAAGAGAGTAAGAGGTGGATTTACTGCACTTAATCCGGTATTGCATATTCTTGCTTCAGATTTTTCTCTTCTTCTTCTTCTTCTTTTCATTTCAATGAGAATATTCCTGCTTACACATTGTATATTATGCAGCTGATGATGGGTTTTGGACAATCCCTAGCATTTCTCTATGGTTCTCTTCTTAATTGGCGCATCTTAGCCTTAATAGGTCACTCCTTGATGCCTTTTCATTGGTTTTATTGTGATCCATTTTGATTTCCACGCTCTCACTTGAGCTTGGTCCTTGTGCAACTCCTTTTCAGGAATCATTCCAGGCATAATACAACTACCAGGATTATTTTTCATCCCAGAATCCCCTAGATGGCTGGTAAGTCTTGACTCAGAATATGTTGTTCAATGGTTACTGAACTTTGTCTATCAGTTTCACATTCAACAAATTTTTGAGGTAATGCTGAATATAGGACTTCATCTATAATGTTAACTGCAATGGTTTTCAGGCAAAACTTGGTCGTCTAAAAGACTTTGAAGCATCTCTACAGCGCCTTAGGGGACCAAATGCAGACATTACTCAGGAAGCTGCTGAAATCAAAGTAAGCTCATATCTACAGGGAGAATTTAATTCCCTTTTTCTTTGGTTTGAAACTTTTATTTAATTTTATTGTGACTTTCTTGGAATCTTTGTTGACAGGATTACACTTTATTCCTTCAATATATTCAACAAGAAGATGGATTTCTCAACCTTTTCCGGAGGAGATATGCCCGTGTACTAATTGTACGATTTGAAAATTCATATCTTCTGCTTCCCTGTCTTTTCTTTTTCAAGCATTTTTTTAATCTATGGGTGTGTGTTTTTAGGTTGGAGTTGGACTGATGTTATTCCAAAGATTTGGAGGAACTTATGCTTTTCTTTTCTATGCCAGCACCATTTTTGAGGCTGGAGGTAGGCTCTGCAATTCTTTCAGTCATATATGGTAACAAAAATAAGAAATAAGTGTCTTTAGATGAGGCAGAAGTATTCATTTTTGATAGGTTTTTCAAGTACAATTGGGACTATAGCGGCAGCCATTGTCCAGGTTTTTGCCCTCAATCTCTAATTTATGGGCTGGACATTATTTGTTAATATATATGGTTTGAAACAAAGGCATTCTTGACATCCTTCTGCAGCTTATTGGAACAACAATAGGGGCTCTGGTGATAGATAAGTATGGAAGACGGCCAATGCTACTGGTTAGAACACTGCTACAAAATTAATTTTCAGTACATTTCACTGTGCTACTAAAAGAAATGTTGCTGTTTGCTACTGAGACCATCGAAGAAAGAAAGAGAGGAACAATATTGAGCACTTGCATTAATATGTTTGCAGATATCTTCAGTTGGAGCATGCCTTGGTTGTATCCTTACAGGATTGGCATTCCTCTTTCAGGTTTATTTCATTCAGTAAAAGTCCACCTGAACTCCGAATTCTTCCCTTTTCTTTTTGGTATGGCTTTACCTTTTGCCTCAAACTTCTAGTCATGAATGATGGATTTTCTTTTTTCATTGAGCAGGACTTCAATTTCAGTAAGGTTCTATCCGCTGGTCTGGTGTTTGTTGGTGTATTGGTAATCCATCTAAAACCATATTCTTAATTTTGTTTGATACCTACATTCTTAATTTTGTTTGATTTTGCTTTGCAACACATTCAAGATGTTGCCAAGGAAGAAATGCCACTAAATCATCTTCTTGTAAAGCTTTGTTTAGCTTTTTTTTCGAACATTTTCTCTGCTAGGAAAAATTTCATGTTTATATGACCCTATTAGGTCTCTTTTACCTGTAAACATAGGTCAACATAATCTTGCCTTCTTTCTCTCTACATTTTATTCTGTGTTAACCCTTTGATTCTGCAATGTAGTTGTACTTGGGTTTTCTACAAGTTGGCCTGGGAGGAATACCATGGATTATAATGTCAGAGGTAAAGTAATTAGTAACCACACAGCTTCACTTTTGGGTACTTTTCTTGGAATTTAAGCAACACAACCAACTGCTTAATCTGATAAATGAGTTCTTATTTTCAGATATTCCCAATAAACATAAAGGGTGCTGCAGGGAGCCTGGTGATTCTGATCAGCTGGATTGGTTCTTTGATTATTGCCTACACATTCACATTTTTATTTGATTGGAGCTCAGCAGGTAAGGCAGCTTCCATCGGTAACCTGCCATGCACAGACTTTTCAATTTATTGCATAAATCCATTGCTTACATACTTGCTAGATACCTAGAATCCATGTAAATGTGACTCCTGAGACCTCAAAAGCATAATGGTGTAGATTGGCTGTTGGAGGCAATATCTACAGTTTAGTATCTCTTTACTAGTTAATAACTGTTGAAGTTCCTAAATGTTTGCACCGAGTCTTTCAGTGGAAATAAGAGATTTTGAATTTGAATCATGAAACATACAAAATTTGGACAACATGTTAACACGATTGATGATTGCTTCTATCTTTTATCAAATAGAATTACAATTTTGAGTATTTTTGGGATGACCTTTTGTGACAAATGACTACAGGAACGTTCTTCATTTACGGAGGCATCTGTGCTGCTGGGATTTTGTTCATTGCAACACTGGTACCGGAGACCAGGGGGCGGGCCCTGGAAGAAATACAGGATTCCTTGGTGCGCAGCATGCAATGTAACGTGCAGTAAGGGATTCATTTTTGTTTGTGGAGACCAATTATTGCGATTGATTTGATTTCAAGAAAAAATTTTCATTTTGAAGCTAAATTTATAAATCTTTGAGAGGATTGAGGAAATCTTATGATTTCTAAAACTCCAACTTTGTGGCAGCATTTCCCCCCCCCCCCCCCCCCCCCCCCTTTTTTTTTGGTATTAAGAAATTTGTGATTGTACAAGAAAACTGTTATTTAAGGCCGAACAGGGTAGAGGCCCAAAGGAGTGGAAAGTTTCTGATTTGCTACTTTTCCATTTTTATGGTAAAAGTAAAACATTGAAAATTCTTTTCATCTATTGGTAAGAAGCACGAAACACATTTAGCACGGATACCAATACCATACGAAAAAGAGCAGACAAGGATATTATTTATTTCTTCTTGTTAGATATAATTGTTTTATTTTAATTTTTATAGTATATAAAGTTTAATTAGATAATTTTATATATAATAAAATAATAATAATTAAAATTTTTTTATTCATAATGTTTTAAAATACTTTCACTTAAATAAAAAGTTTTTAATTATTATTTATTTATTATATAAAATTATTTCATTAAACTTTGTTTTAAAAATAAATTAAG